TATGGCCCCACCAAGCATGTGAGAGATGGAGTCCTGCCAGCTCAGCTCTCACAAGCCAAGTCCCTTGATGACTGTACAACCCTTGCTACGTGGCCAGGCTGAGGCACACAGATCTTTCCCCCCTTCAACCCTCTTTAACATCCAGATCAGAGCCTTGCAAGACTGTTCTTGTTTTCTAAAGGACACAAACCATCTCCCAGCTCTGCTCCTGCAGGCCAGTGTCCCACCACTCACAGAGGGACTTTGCTGAAATCAGGGGTGTAAACAGCTGAGTAAAAGCGGTGACAGCCAGCCCCACACATATAGAAGGCAAGGAAGAAATTGCTGTTTGCAGATCCCAGCAGGGAGGAAGCAGTGGCAGTGACACAGGTTTGGATTTCAGCCTTTTCAAACCTGTGTAACTCTGTTAACAACAATGAAATAATAAAGAGAATAAATCCCATCTTTTGACCTGTAGACTGATTAGATCTGACAGTGGAAAGGGTAAATCTGGGATTGTAGAGCATCCCCCACTTTCCTGCCACCCAAAATCTTTCCAGGTTCTCCTAGTAGCTACCATTTCAAAGCTGTTGTATGACCACCTCCACCTCCCACTTGCCCTCCGTACCGCAGCAGCTGCAGGCAATGGATAGATGACGGACAAAGGTCATTCCACATTTACTTTAGGTGTGTTTACCCTGCTCTGCTTTGCCTTCCTGGTCAAGCAAATATTTAATAAAATGAAGCTTAGACTACAGAGTTTGCAAGACTGTCTCATGAACACGAGAGGATTCGCTCTGCTGGGATGTGCAGGCTGGTCACGTAGGCTTTTAATAACCTTTATGATGATAGATAGAGCGGCGATGGGATGAGCTCTCCCCACACAACCATTCTTCTTTCAAAAGAGGCCATCCTTGAGAGAGCAGCAGAAGAGGGGAAGCTGTCCCTGTTTGAGTCCTGTGTTCAGAAACATCACGTGGCAACCCTGAACACCAGCTCCTGTCACTTCTGAGTTATGATCCATATTTCTAACAGACACGGGTTTGATCAGGCACTAGACAGATCTAGGAAGGAATTATTCTTTTCAAGTACTAAAAAGATCTCTATTTCGCCCCTATATCCTACTGTATTTCGCTCTTCTTAGTCCTGCAGAGTCAGCACAGCTGCAGGACAGGGAAACGGGAACTGCTGTGACCCAGAGATTGAAGAAGTAATGAACAACCCCTCTTCTGCAGTAGGAGCCCTCTTCCCAAAGGTCATCGCAACGCCCAAGAGTTGAGTTGCAACAACAGGAGGAAACATCCCTATTAAAATAAGTGGCCAACACAACATGTGAGAAGGTTCACTCCAGACATGAAAGCAGGAAGGCTGCATGAAGATTCCCTTTCGTAGCTGACAAAGGGGCTCCAAAGACAGTGAACCTCATGGGGGAAGATGCTCACCTGCAGAGGAAAGAGCATCAACAATCTGACAACACCAATAGCCACTAAGCAAGCACAGGAGCATCCCCATGGGACAAAGAAGGGAGAGCAGGAGCCTGGGGCTATTTTGCCATCTTCCACCAGCCATCTGAGTGACCCTAGGATGAGGATTTTCTCTCTGTGAACTGCTGGCACTCATTCCTCTCCCATCTGCTCATGTTGTTTGCCCTGCACCCTCTGGGGTGCAGCCTTCACTTGTCCTGCAGTCCCAACCAGTTCTTGAGCCTTTAAGGGCTATAATTTATAATGTGGCTGCTATTATTTATTAATAAATAACAGCAGAGGGCAAAGGCAAGGAGGATTGGTTGTTTAACTTGCAGAAGAAAGCACAGTTTGTACTACCTCTTAGAGGATGCACCAAGGAGAAGGGGACTATGCATGTCTTTTTATGACCCATGTCTGGGTAGCAGAAGTCACGGCAGCTGGGAAGACAAATAATGCAGTGGCATAGATATACACTGTCTTTAAGGCTGCTTGGTCTCTAAGAGAGAGTGATTAGATTATATGAGGAAAAATGCAAATAACAAAGGTCACAGTGAGGTCTGGGCTTCAGCTCTAAGCTGGGTATTGCCAAAATATCTGGAGAAGAGAAGGTTGTGTGGAGACCTCATAGCAGCCTTCCAGTATCTGAAGGGGGCATATGGGGCTGCTGGGGATGGACTCTTCATTAAGGACTGTAGTGACAGGACAAAGGGTAATGGGTTAAAACTGAAACAGGGGAAGTTTAGATTGGATATATGGAGGAAATTCTTTCCTGTTAGGGTGGTGAGGCACTGGAATGGGTTGTCCAAGGAAGTTGTGAATGCTCCATCCCTGGCAGTGTTCAAGGCCAGGTTGGACGAGGCCTTGGGTGATATGGTTTTAGTGTGAGGTGTCCCTGCCCATGGCAGGGGGTTGGAACTTGATGATCTTAAGGTCCTTTCCAACCCTAAATATTCTATGATACTAAAATAAGCTCAAACTGCCTTCCCACAATAGCCAGGCTCACACTCCTTTCCGCTTCCAGGGACATGGCCAGCACTAATGCCATGACCCACCACGTAGGACTCCTGTATGAGACCAAACTGTCCCTCTACATGGCTCCTGCCACAACAGCCTCTACACCAGCACATTTAAGGTCCCTAAGAAGGTCACACAGCCTCTATAGTCGCAGAGATCTGTAGGGAAAGAGCTTTTGGTAGAAAGCAGCCCTGCTTTTTCTCCCTCTGTCATGAACACCTTGTCCTCCATTCACCCTTCCACAGGCAGTGGTGGTACAGAGGGGATGCCACGGGCTATAACAATACAAAGCTATCAAATAACACATTCACCTTTATATTCACAGTTTGGTTTAAGGACTGGTTTCCACCCAAAGGGCAGCAAGTTATGGCATGGTTACTTTTTTGCTGTTACTGACAACTTCCACCAAGGGTTAGAAAACACTCAGTTAAAGGATGCAACTTGGTTCTGCCCAGGGCTCTCTAGGACATGATCCCAAGACTCTACAACATGCAACACTATGATAATTAGATGCAGCCCTGGACAAGAAAAGTTTGGATGTAAGAAAGCCTCAGAGGAATAAACTTTCCTAACTCCCTTTAACTCGTTGGTGGCTGTTATTAGACGGGAGAGCTAGGGAATGCTGAATACGTCCTCACAATACAGCAGGTTCCAAGGGGATGAAGTCAAGAAGGATGCCCTATGGCTGAGGAAGTAGGAATAGATCAGGCATAAAAAGGACACAAAGGACTGTCTGTCAATTGAGAGGGAGGGAAGGGCTTAGGAGGAAGTGTACAGGGAACTGGGAAAGAGGGAGCTGGGGCATTCAGTTTTGATTGACAGTCTCATGAAAGCCATGATCATTCTCCTGGCATAAAACCACCCCTCTACAATGACAGCTCCTGAAAGGAACGTGTCACTGGGTGAACATGGGAGATGACAGCATCTCCCCGTTTGGCTTACACACACACAACCCTCCTGCCACCAAAGGTGGCAGACAGAATCACTTCACCATGTCCTCTGCCACAACCACTGCAAGGTCAATGGTAAGAGGAATCATGAGAATATGGCTGCAAAAAGCCATTGAAGCAAATCAGCTCTGGGTCCAGCTTCAGCCAAGGGCTCAGAGCAAAAATAAACATTAACATCTAGGACATGACCAAAACATGCTGAAAAACAGCACTGGGGAGGGAGAAAACCCACCACATCCTCCTGCGCAGTGGGTCTGACCACCCAGTGGCTGGTGGGATGGGTTTGGTGACTTCTCCACCAGGTAATACATGGCTAGGAGGAAGCCAACAGCACCCAGGACTCATGTGTAATGCCAACAGCACGGGCTGGGTGGGTAATGAAACCCAGCATTAATCAGACAGCACGCTCCTCTGTTTACTTCTGCTTCACTCAGGCACAGCTATTCATTTCCCAGGATGCGGGAGGCTGTGCAGGGATGCTGACAAGGCAGACGCCCAGCGACGGAGCCAGCACAGAGCAATTCAGCACCAAGTGCAGCTACACAATCTCTTTAATCTCAGCTAAAGAGGGTTTTTTTTTCCCAGCTTCCTTTAATAAACCCTGATTACCATGGATAGAAGCTTTTCTTTGGAAGCCAACACTGGGAGAAATCTCATGCAGAGACATTGTCAACAGCTCCCCCAGCAAAGCCCAGCTTCTAACTTCTGCTAAATCCTTTCTCCCTGAACTTATAACCTGGCCAATGCCGGATGGAAACTGAAGGCAAGTCTCTCTTTGAGGGCATCCTAGGCCAGAGCATCTTTTCTTCAGAGCTCACCGCAATGAACAGATCTCAGTGCAAGCTGCAGCTTGTCCCAGAAATAAAGAGATTAACTTCAGGAGTGGTTTGTTTGCAAGGCACTTAAACTAAGGCATGGCCTTCCTTCATCACACAGATCATTCTACTCAGGCAGTCAGATGGTGCTCATCACCCTGTTACCTGTGCATCTGCCAGAAGCGTATTAAATGATGGGATTAACGCTCACCATGAATGAGATTTTCTTCCTTTTCTTCCTTATTCCCCCATGTGATAAAACTGCATGTGGATGGAGTTTCTGCCTGCATTTCAGGCTTGGTTTCCTATCAACAAAAGCAGGTCAGAGCCATGCTCCTTTGTTCTTGGAAGGGAAAGCAGAGAGGTTTGCAATGATTTCTCAGTTCCTCCAGGTATTTGCTATGTGGAGACTCAAATGAAAGAACACAAATATTAGTGTCAAGAATGGAGTTTTGAGGTCATGGAAATAACCTACAAATCCTGAATCCGGGGTTAAATTCTCTTTTCTGGAGCAGACTTGGCCGGGAGTCTCCATGGCTGAGTGCCACCCTCCACAACACAGGTTGCAGTATTTCCCAGTCTTCTGAAAGTATCCTGAGTATATCTGTGTTGAAATTATTCCTTATTGCAGTAACTGGGGAAATATAAACCCCCAGACAAACAGATCATTGCAGCAAGAGCACACAGGGTTGTTGATTTTAAGCAAACCATGCCACAACAGTGCCTGAATTGGTTGATCCTACCTAGATGAAGGTGTATATGAGACCACAGAATCATAGAATAGTTAGGGCTGGAAAGGACCTTAAGATCATTGAGTTCCAACTCCCTGCCATAGGCAGGGATGCCTCACACTAGAACATTTCACCCAAGGCTCTGTCCAACCTGGCCTTGAACACTGCAAAGGATGGAGCATTTACCACTTCTTTGGGCAACCTGTGCCATTGCCTCACCACCCTCACAGTAAAGAACTCCTTCCTTATCTCCAACCTGAACTTTCCCTGTTTCAGTTTGAACCCATCACCCCTTGTCCTATCACTCCAGTCCCTGATGAAGAGCCCCTCTCCAGCATCCTTGGAGCCCCCTTCAGACACTGGAAACTGCTCTGAAGTCTCCATGCAGCTTCTCTTCTCCAGGCTCAACAGCCCCAACTTCCTTAGCCTAAAGCACTGAGAAAAGTGAAGAACGTCCAAAGCCAGACTGTCAGGTTGACTTCTATTTCAGTCTCATTCTCGTCCCCAGCAAAGCCATCGTGTGCTCCTGGGACTCTGCTCTCCCCACTATGAAGTGTTTCTCTACCGTGTTTCACTGATGGGCAGCTCTCGTGGGGTTGGCAGTGCCAAGCTGGCCAGGAAATTAAAATGGTGTGGAATATCCCCTTGGACAGTTCAGGTCCTGGCTCTGTCCCCTCCAAAGCTCTTGTGTCCCTCCAGCCTACACTCAGGCAGGGCACGAAAAGGTGAAAAGTCCTTGACTTAGTACCAATTCTACTTAGCAACAACTAAATGCATCAGTGCGTTATCAACATTATTCTCATCCTGAATCCAAATCACAGCACTGCATCAGCTATTAGGAAGAAAATTAACTCTATCCCAGCCTTAACCAGGACAGCATTTCACAGGCAAGGAGACTCTGATCAGCTCTAGACACAAACAGGAACAAACACATCTTCTGCCCCTAAAGGAATGATGAATATTGAAAAGAAAATGAACTGGGTTTCATCCCAGCAGGTCTCCCCAGCTTGTGTATCATTTATAGCATTTTAGGACAGCCTTGAGGAAAAATGGAGTTTCCTTCCTTAGAAGTCAAGCTTATGCTTGCAGATTTCCTCATCCCCAAATGAGGTCTTTACATCTTCTTGACCTGGCTCAGATGGGAGCCCTAAAACACCATTTTGATTCCCAAAGAGCAAGAAAGGGGCTCGGACCCCAGCTTTCTCTGTGAGTCAGCAGGCAGCTCTTTTCTTGTTGGCTGAGGCTGTACAGCACAGTTTATGTTGCATTGGATGCCAGTGGGTGGATGTTTCCCCCTGCTCTGCAGTCTTGGGAAGATCTGTGAGATATGAGTCCCCTCTCTCTGGCTGAAGTCTTGCAATTAGCACTGTATAAATCCACAAAGAGCCAAATCTCATAAGACACAAGACTATACTTCAGCTGTCTCCTGAAAGCCAGGCAGGGAGAATAACTCCGTATTAACAGTGACTTTATGATCACTGGCTATTGCACTCCCAAGATCTACATATATGCCACCAAGGATAAAACATGGACGTGTAGGAATTAAAAACACCCAAACCCTTTAGACCTTGATCTACTTGTTTTTGGAGCCCTAAGATCTATATTTGGAGGTGGGGAAACCACTTGCAAAGAAGCCAGGAGAGAATCCTCAGTCTTCAAAGTCTGAGATTTCGCTACATATTCAAAAGGCAGCTCAGCAGAGCAGACTGAGCAACACAGGGTAAAAGCAACAGGAGTGGGGAAACAAGAGGTGATACCAGGATGGGGAATAAGGTTTGGAAATCATAGAATCCAAGAATGGTTTGTGTTGGAAGGGACCTTAAAGTTCATCCAGTTCCAACCCCTGCCACGGGCAGGGACCCCTTCCACTGGAGCAGCTTGCTCCAAGCCCCTGTGTCCAACCTGGCCTTGAACACTGCCAGGGATGGGGCAGCCACAGCTTCTCTGGGCACCCTGTGCCAGCGCCTCAGCACCCTCACAGGGAAGAGCTTCTGCCTAAGAGCTCAGCTCAGTCTCCCATCTGGCAGGTTCAAGCCATTCCCCTTGGCCTGTCCCTACAGGCCCTTGTCCCAAGCCCCCCTCCAGCTTTCCTGCAGCCCCTTTAGGCACTGGAGCTGCTCTAAGGTCTCCCCTTCAGGAGCCTTCTCTTCTCCAGGCTGCCCCAGCCCAGCTCTCTCAGCCTGGCTCCAGAGCAGAGCTGCTCCAGCCCTCGCAGCATCTCCATGGCCTCCTCTGCACTCGCTCCAACAGCTCCACGTCCCTCTTGTGCTGCTGCCCCAGAGCTGGATCAGGACTGCAGGGGGGGTCTCCCCAGAGCACAGCAGAGGGGCAGGATCCCCTCCCTGAGCTGCTGCTCACGCTCTGGGGGTGCAGCCCAGCACACGGGGGGGTTCTGGGCTCAAGCGCACACTGAAGCCGGGTCATGGGGAGCTTCTCATTGACCAACACCTCCAACAAAAAACCTTCAGAGGGATGCAGAGCCAGTGTATTTGCCACACAGGTTAAGGCTATCTGCAAAGCAGATGAGCTCCAGTTACCAGTGACCAGTACTTGATGGTTCAGAGAGTACGGGAATCTATCCCAAATTAAGCGTACAACTGGTCAGCCTAAGCAATGAAAGCAGAGACAGCCATGTACTCACAGCGATCCAGGATCCTAGAGAGCAAGGACCATCAATCCTGCAACTATTCCAAACCTTACAGCTGGAAACAGGCTGAACACACAGCAGGAGCAGGAACATAAAGATAATGCTGTTATACTATATTACTGGGAGGAAAGAGTCAGGTAGAGGTATGATGATTTCTCTTCAGTGATACAGGGTTTGCAGCAGAGGCGAAAACAGAGTCTCCTTTTATGCTTTATTCAGCATAAAATCTCCTTTCATTAATGGCAGGTAACCAACCACTTTGGAGCAGCAACCACTAGCTATGGATGGGACCAGTGAAAAGACCTGACACAGCAAATCCTTCATCTTCCCACGTGAGTGGCTAAAGAGAGCAGATGAGCACATACAGGCCCGTAAAGCAGAGGTGGTTGGAGCATCTCAGATCTTAGCCAGATCTTGAGTCCAACACATACACAGGGTCCCCAGAGAATCTGTAGCTGCCCCATCCCTGGCAGTGTTCAAGGCCAGGTTGGACACAGGGGCTTGGAGCAAGCTGCTCTAGTGGAAGGTGTCCCTGCCTGTGGCAGGGGTTGGAACTGGAGGAGCTTTAAGGTCCCTTCCAACTCAAACCATTCTATGATTCTATGCCACCTGTCCAAAAGGCAACTGAAGGGCAGGACACCCATGCTTGCAATAGCAGAGACACCCAGCTGAGACACAAATGGAAGCCCAGCAGCAGCAAGAGGGCTCTGCTCATTGTGCAGAGAGATGTAATGAGGCAGTGTGGCCACAGCCCTGATAAGCAGCAGCTTTACAAGTATTTTGTGGAGGTGGAAGCAGTCTGGCACCTATCCCACCACAATACCGTGATGTTCTCCAACCACAGTCCCATGACTTCTCCCACCACAGTCCCATGATGTTCCACAGATGACACAGGAAGACCACAAGTACTTTCAGCAGAGAATTAGCAGCAAAACTCAATCCCCTCTTAAAAAAAAGAAATAATAAATGAAGTATTCTTAACCTGCTATTAATTTTCTCTCCCAGTGACTTTGTCCACTGCCAACACATACAAAGGCCAATGGGAAGTTATTCTTAGAGCCCTGCCTGGCTGTTGCTGCAGGATAACTAGCTCCATTCCCTGCTTGGGAGTCTCAAGATACTGCTGAGCTAGACAGGATACTTAATGGCCAGGATCAGATACAGACAAGAGACGGCATTGTGCTAATATGGGTGAAAAGATAATCACATGCTATGTTTGTTAACAAGAAGATTAGAAGAGAGCTGATGTTGTATACACACTGAGGCTGTATTTGCAAGGAGATACACAAATCTATCCTGTACAGCATACAGACACATTTAGTTTTGCACAGAATTATGCGATTCCTGTGTGCTCCTGGTGCAGGGTAGTGTGTGCATGCATAATTACACCCAGCATTAGCAGCAACACCTCTAGCTCAGGTAGACTGACATGCTCTGTGCTAAGATGCAGGTTTAAGAACCTCATTACTTTGACAGACCTGAACTACTCAGGGGACACCTTCCTCAGCTCGGTGTCTGCCTCAGGCTAACAGGGTTGCATTCACAATGGCTTGGGCAATTCTGAGAACTCAATGAGGAGAAGGTGGTGGTTTTTTTTTGCAAGTTATTGATTTTAATTTTTGAATTTATTGAATTGATTTTTCTGTGTTTGACCTTAGGTAGATTTTTTTATGCTGTCTTACTAAAAGCTTCATGCTTTGGAGCAGGTAGTAAAATTGGGAAGGTTCTCAACTGTTGCATAGGGATCTTCTGGCCATGCCTCAAATTTGGTCTAAATTTGACCAAGTTGCAACATCTAATAATACATATAGAATCATAGACTGGTTTGGGTTGGAACGGACCCAGTTAAGATCATCTAGTTCCAGCCATCTGCCATGGGCAGGGATGCCTCACATTAGATCACATCACCCAAGGCTTTGTCCAACCTGGCCTTTAACACTGCTGGGGATGGAGCATTTACCACTTCTCTGGGCACCCTGTACCAGTGCCTCAGCACCCTCACAGTAAAGAACTTCTTCCTTCTATCTAACCTGAACTTCCCCTGTTTCAGTTTGAACCCATCACCCCTTGTCCTATCACTACAGTCCCTGATGAAGAGTTCTTTTCCAGCATCCTTGTAGGCTCCCTTCAGACACAGAAAGCTGCTCTGAAGTCTAAAAGGGGAGTAAAACACGCTCAACATCAGCAATGAAGGGACTAAGGAAGTTTTCCCCATGCTTATTCTTTGTGTCAGCTGGAGCCTGTTGTGCTGCTAAGAAGAAAACTCTTCTGTGGTCCCTGATGGGCTTACTTACACTGCAGCTCAGCTTAATTAACCCAATTGGAAAGCAAAAGAGGAGGATGCTCTGACAGGGAAGGCTGGGAAAGGGAGGAGGGGGAGAAAAGTGGCTAGAGACAACGTAAGAGAAGGGAAGTGTGGGCAGACTGTGGATTTGCAAGTTCTGTAACCACTGAAACATCCCCTCCTTATGAATGGGGTATTGATCCCGCAGCTCCTGAATCTCCCAGTTCCCCTAGAATGGGTTTCCTGCAGCTGCTGACAAATCAGGAGGTCAAATCAGTTTCATAAGGTTAAAGTTCTGGGAGGATATTTCCATTTTTGGCTTTCAAAAGCGTAGAAAATGCATTTCAAAGCAAAAAATAATGCCACTGCAGAAAGGAAAAGAAAGAAGGGGGGGAAAGAGCAGGTAGTTGCTGAGCGATTGCAGACTTACCCAGCATCTTCCCTA